AGCAGTGACCGTTACAGCGGGGAACAGAGAGGGAACAAAGGCCAGATGTTGACGTGGGTGCTCCCGATCTCTGATGTCAGAGCTGGGCGTCTCCTCACACGTCTTAGATAAAGATGAAAAGTCTTGAGGTAGAGACTTATATTTGTAATGTAAAGTTAACCAGAGAAAAAAGTGAACCACTGATAGACTACATGGAAAGCTGGGGGGGTGCGGGGTGGGGGGGCTGTGTATGTGTGTGTAATTGTGTGTGTAATTGTGTTTGTTTAGAGAGCTTCATCATTCTCTTAAATGCCCTTTGATACCTGCTGAAGATCTGAGGTCATTACTGCAAAGAGCTTGCTTGGCTTACTGTACATCCTGATGAGAGTGTGTCTACCAAGCTTAACGAAACTGGTGGAGCACGGTGTCTTTTGCTTCATCTACCAAATCTAATGTCTAAGTCTGATATTGAATGTAATCTAGTAAAATTAATATTGTGGATGAATGTTCTCTTGGGATTTTGTGGTGATCTCTGTGAGAGATCGGTGCATTTAGTCTTAGGGGCTGGGAGAAAACTGCCAGATCACCATCGTTGTATGATTTCACACAGCTCTGAAATGAACAAAGTCATGTGAAGCATATTTAAAAACATTAGTCAGGACTCGAGCTGATTGGTTACCTATAACATTTTGTAAAGATTTTTGTAATGTTTTTAAGCATTGCTGTAAAGATTTAAACCAAACAGCTCAGCACTTGAAGCACAACATCCTGCTGCCTTAAGTTTCATCCAACACGAATCATCATTGTTCGCTGACTTGTTTTACTTTAATTTCTTAATTACGTTTTTAAGCTATAGAAGGGGTTAATCAGCTCACATTGACTCACTCAGAAAAATAATTCATTGGATGAACGTACTTTTATCTTGCCACTTATATTCCATCTAAACAAATCATGTTATATTAATCCATCTTGATTGTGTTGTGTCAACACGATATATGTGTGTAGGTTTAACATAATATTAACATTAGCATTCAATTAATTTGACTTTTGTTCAATCAACATGTTTGCACCACGTTAGTCTAATTCAATTAATTTAAATCCATCTTATATTGTTTAAACACTTTGGCACATCAAAAATCAGTCTTGTTACATGAACTAGTAAAATATTTGTTACACCAATGATAATCTTGTTGAATGAATGAAATGTAACTTATGTCTGTAGTACATGTTGTATTCATATTAAGTAATGTTCAACCAAAAAAAAAATCAATGGATTTCCAGCAACTTCCAATCCACCCATCTTCTTAGCTTTATCTGGGCTGCGGAAGTGATAGGGCAAGAAGGACGCGGTACATCCTGGACAGGTCGCCAGTCAATCATACAGAGACAAACAATCATTTGCACTTTAACACCTTTGGGAAATTTAGAATAACCAGTTACTGCATGACTTTTAACTGTGGAGGAAACCAGAGGAGAACCCACTGCAAACTTTGCCACATTGTGGATTTGAACCCAGGATCTTCTTGCTCTGAGGCAACAGCACGAACCACCATGGCATTAATCTGTCAATACAGACTTAGCAAAAGTAGGAAAGCTATGCTTGATGATGCTTTATGTTGTTGTTCTTGACAAGTTTAACCATAAGAAATAGTAACAGCATACACGTGGTGTGGTTGTCGTCCTCTTGTAACCCCACTGATTTTCCTGTGGTTTGACATCTAATGTGATCTTGTGAATTTCGTGAGTCGACCCCCAAAATGAAATTGGGTGGTTGTTACATGCATAAGATCCAAACTTGTAATTTGAACTAAATAATTCCATGTTTCTATGGTGAGATGACATCATACCATCTAGTAAGAGTGGCTGGATCCAGGCAACTAACCGTATGATGTCATCTCAACAAGAACAAATTAAGTTGCTGAATTTCATGCAGATGCTACATGATTTAATTACGTTCACCATAGAAACATGGAATTATTTAGTTCAAATTACAAGTTTGGATCTTATGCATGTAACAACCACCCAATTTCATTTTTTTGAGTGTACATTTATAGCATCTGTCAATATAACAAATGATAGTGCCATAAAAGCACATTCCACCATCTGCTCATATCAGTCCACCCATGATTGAAGGGTGTGCTGATAACGATTTTTTTCCATGCACCTGATGAATCAATCACTCATTCAGTCACTCAGAAACAGTACAAAATGTCCAGATCCCTTGGGCTCAGAGTCTGGACAGCATATAAAAAAGAGAGAAGACAAAAATGTGTACTAGAAATGACTGCGTGGACTCTCAACTATGAAAGTATCAGGTCAAACTCCATCACCTGTGATGGTACCTAGGGGGTTCTTGGGGAAGGATGATGCCAAAAAGGCCTGAATCCATCTCAGACCTGCCACCCACCGAAAATATTTTGTGAATTTCAAAATGCAGCATGTATGACAGAGGAGCCCAGGAACTGCTGACACATTTACAATTCTCTGTCTCTCAAGAAAGCACTGAATCACCTCTACGCACTGTGCTGCATGACGACGATTCACCACACTGATAAACATGTCACTATAAAAAGACTATTTGCCCTCATAAACATGAGCAATAATTCTGAATAAAACGCAGCTGACAAATACAAATCAAAGTTTGATTTATTTTTGCAATAATTAATCATTAATGAAAAGTGCTCGTTGTAAATTCACTGTGTACCAATGACGTAAATTTCCATTTCATTTAAATCTTTCCATTGTACTTAAATAACAAAATTACAGGGACTTTTTTTTGTTGTTGCATGTAATCAAATTACTTAACGTGGGCATAAATATTTGTGAGTTCATGCCACTTTACAGGAAACGTGTCTCATTCAAAACGAGCAAATATTTTTTCACTAAAAGCAATCTATTCGATTTCAGTTCAGTTTTATTTATATTCCTGTTAAAAATCCCTTTTAACAGAAAGAAACCTCCAGCAGCATTCAGGGTCACCTAATCCAGCAGTAACTATAAGCTGTATCAAAAAAGAAAGTAGAAAGAGTGTCTGTCTCCTAAATCCAAACTGGAAGCTTTAATATTTAGATATTAATCTAGAGCAAAAGAACTTGTTTTGGAATTAAAAAAATAATAAAACAAATTATACCACATCTCTTTAGAAAACACTGGACTGCATAGCAAATGTAATTCGCACAGGAGACCCACGGAAGCAGAATTTGTACTTTTAGCAAGTGGCTGTGTTCTTTTTAATGAACAAACGTGTGAGCCAGTGCAGCGGTGTGGTTCACTGAACAGCTCTGCACTACAATGAAAGCCTCTGGCACGGAGAGCTTTGAATACAGAGATGTATGTAGGAAACACAGATGAACAATAGAGGAAACAACAAATCTTTGCCTCTTCTTCCATCTGTTCAGTTTGGATGCTTTAAATATGTCCGAGCATTAAAACCAGTAAACATGCCCCGCTCTGCCTTACACCACAGCAGCTTTATTCACACTTTCTGGTGATGTAGAACCTCCGAGTGTTTTA